GATACTAATAATGAATAACAAATATTTGAAAACCTTGAGTCACTAGGAAAGGTTTAAACCAATAGAAATAAATTTCAGAATCTATTAACAATGAAATCTTTAATGGCAGGAATAAATCATCCTAATTCTAGTTGGAAACTATAAAGAAATATTAAACTAAGCCCCCAAACACAACAACACAAGAACATGAAATATTACAGTCTTCTTGTTGCAACTTCCACCACTTTTTTTAAACTAAGCCCCTATTTGGCCCCACTTTTTTAAAACTCATTTTGCCCCAAACTAATTTGGCATCAAATAATGCATTTTGTAGAACTTCCAAGTAATTAGAACTAAATTCACACATATACAAGGTAATGGAACACCATATCAGAGTACAAGGGCGAAAAAAACCTAAAGCCCTGTATCTGGAAAACAATCCCAATAGCATTTTGCATGACCCTATCTTGATCAGTAATTATTTCATGTGGAGCTTTACCTTACATGCACTGAAACCATGACCTAAACAACCACACAAAAGAATCTATGTCCTCATTCGATAAAATGCACAACCAAACAATGTTGATTGACCATGATAGTTCACGCCAATGATAGGTGCGGAAGGTATGTCTTGTTTATTAGTGAGATAAGTGGTAGCAAATGTGACAACATTACCAAACTCCCTATATACCTGTCTACACCTATTATTAGAACAAATCACGTTCTTTAAGCGAGACACATCTTCTACATCCATACTGAAACAAAAACCCAAGTGTCGTGCTTACATTTTTGAAAAATAACATTGTATTGCAGCCGTATTTCTTTCTCCAAGTTGTGATCGCCTCGCTTGTTCGAATCCTTTCCATTCCACACACGTTATGTTCTCATATCCACATGCTTCAACAACTGTGGAGTTGAAACTTTTTTGTAACGAAATTTCTGTCAAGTCATTCACTTCAAGTTTTCATTATCCCACTTAAGAGGTAATACAAAATCAAATTCTAGCTAAATCATAACATTTTTAGAGCATCATTAAGGAATCAAATGCACCTAAAGATATTAACCAACAGAATACTCAGGTTGCATTTAATGGCAGACAATTGAGGCACCAAAATTGGATTTGTAAAGAATCAATTCAAAATTGAATGGAAATATTTCTAAATAGAATAAAAAAGGTCTCATGTATATATGGTTAAACATAGCTTAAAGAAAGAATTCTCACCTGCATAGAGAAGTTAAAAGTCATGTAACTCGTAGGCTTGAGACCATAGTAAGCTGCACTAACTTCAATTCCAATAAATCTGGCATGCAATATATAAATTGGTTGAGTATGGAAATTATTACAAAGACAACAAAAACAATTAAGTTCTAAGGCAAAGAGAAACCTCAATATTATGAGTTTCCAGAACTCCATCGGGACCATACTTCTTCAAAAGTCCTTTGAAAATTAAAGTGAAATAAAGTAAAAATAAAATACTAATTACTGAAAAAATAAAAATAAGATTAAGAAAAGTCTTGTTATTGAAGTAGTTGAGGTGCTATTGAACGAGTAACACTCACCTTGTATGCTACCTGATACTCATCAACCTATGTATTAGTAATAAACAAGTTAAAAAAGTTGTGAAATCCAAAAATAGCAAAGCAACAACGTGCCTAATTGCATTTTCTTCTCATAGTAAACTAAAACTTCTAGTTTACCTATTCGCCCATTAAAACGACATTGGAGTCAGCAGACATTTCTTCATCAAGTGTCAAATTTAAAGCCGCACAAAATGTCATCTGCAAGAAATGGCAGTTACATATAATTATAAATTTTGATTGATGTTCTCATACAATTTGGATCTGGGACAACATTAACAAAGAAAGCTCACAAATGACCTAAACTTTAAAAAAAAAAAAAAAAAAAGGCACAGGCTGCAGCATGCAAGTCCAAAAATATTTAAACAATACAGATTTTACTAAATGAATCGTATGTTTTAGTATATGTACTCCCTCAACATTCAACTACTAAACATTTTGATTTACTTGCTCAAATACACAACATTAAGAAACTTGAAAAAAATATGTAGATCATTCGTATATGTACACTTTTGCTATGGTAGAAAAAGCCCGGGATGCAACTATTCGCATTCGTCACTTCAAAATCTTCAAATCACTGGATGAATTGGGGTGAGTTGATCCAAGTTGAAATATAAGTATCATCTATCCTTAATAGCAATCAATCAATCCACTCTCCATACAAAATGGAACATGTTGGCGCTTTCTGGTCCTGTAAATACTCAAAAAACAAAAAAGAAACAAGGTTTTCACTTTATACTTCAAAAGTTATACCAATAATTGCAAACTTATATTTTATATTTGGAAAATTCCTCTCAATACAAACCTGAAAGACATTGCTAACATCAATCTAAGGAATGGAACGATGAAAAAAAGTCTATAGAGAAAAATAATGTAAAGCGTATTAAGGAGATCACTCATAACACCGATAGTATAAGAAGTGTCATCTTGTCAGACCTCTGTTGAACAGAAGCTTATGCCTTTAGGAAACTACTGCTAAAAGATGAACTGAGGCCAAGTAAAAGTAGAATTTTCTTCATGCCTTGTTTCCTCTTTAGCTTATCAACCAGCCAATTCAAGAAAATATAAAAAATTAAAACATGAAAGGTAAGCTTAATTTTATAAAAATTGGAAAATTTGAGCGCACAACTTCTAGTAAGGCCCATTTAGTTTCTCTTGCTGTGGCTTTCTCTATTGTTTGTAATTTGCTTCATTGTAATTTCATCATCTTTCTCTTCCAAGATTTAGTGATATCAATTCAAAAGTACAATTATCAAGAAAAAATATTAATTTCTTGAAAAATATGAATAAATTGGGCAAATTCTTGAAGGAATTTTTGATTAGTGAACAATAGATACAATTTAAAGGATAAATTTTTTTTAAGAAAGATAGTTATATACTTACATTTTGAGGATGTTGGGGGTGCTTGCTTAGAGTTAATACTTAAGCAAACTTTATTCTCCATTTGACAGCCTGTAAAATTATGACATATAACAAATGGATGTCAAGGATGATTACTACTAATTAACATATGCATCAACTAACATCCATACAGATAAAAATATTTTCAAGTCATTCTAATCACAATAATCATCATCTCGTAAAAGTAAAATTCAACAAATCAAACATGGATTCATTACAATAAAGAAATTGGTATAAAATTACAGAAATTTGAAAAGAGAACTAACCTGAGTTCTCAAAATAGCCGGTATTCTGGGTTCGAACTCCTAAAAGATCGAACACAAAAAA